CTTATTTGGATGCACCACTATATATAACAAACCCTTTTGAACCTTCAGGTATGGTTAATACAGGTGGTGTTTTAGCTCCTAAAAGCTTTGCTCACACTTATCTCTCCATTGAAACTTTACTCATTTTCTTGTCAATTGTGTCATTGGTCCGACTATTTTGGAGGATCCTTCTAAAATCTCCAATAGTACCCAGCCAATCCTAGAAATCTTCAAACTTCACCAGCATTAGTCGATGTCTTCCAATTAGTTACCACTTCTAGCTTTACTGGATCTACTTCAATTCCTTGGGCAGTAACTACATGATCGAGGAATCCAACTCGTTCAAGCCAAAATTGGCACTTTTTAAATTTAGCATATAATTTTTCTTCACGCAATGTTTCTATCGCTATTCTAAGATGTTCTTCATGTTGATTTTTACTGTTGGAGTAAATCAGAATGTCATCAATGAAGACTATAACAAATTTTTCCAAATACTGATGAAATACTCTATTTATCTGATCCGTAAACACTACTAGAGCATTTATCAATCCGAATGGCATAACTGTTAACTCGTAATGTCCATAACGAGTTCTAAAAGCCGTCTTAGGTATGACACTTTCTTTAACCTTCAATTGATGATATCCAGATCGTAAATCGATCTTGGAAAATACCTTAGTCCCTTTAAATTGATCAAACAAATTCTCGATTCTTGGGAGAGGATACCTATTTTTGATGGTCAAACGGTTCAACTCCCGATAGTCGATACACATCCCCATACTTCCATCTTTCTTCTTTACAAACAATACTAGTGCACCCCATGGTGATATACTTGGTTGAATAAAGCCAATGTCTAATAGTTCTTGTAACTAGATTTTCAATTCCTGAAGTTCTTTTGGGGTCATTCTGTATGGAGCTTTAGATACTGGTGCCGTTTCGGGAACCAAATCTATTGTGAATTCCACTTATCTATCAGGTGAAATACCAGGTAGATTTTGTGGAAACACATCTATAAATTCTTGTACTACTGGTACATCCTCAATCTTTATTGTTGCCAGTTTTTCTCTAGAGATATTAACTAGAAATCCTTGATATGTTTCGTTTCTCAACATTTTCTCGGCTTGTAAGGCTAATACTAGTTGGAGGTGGGGTTTGGTCTTTATTTCAAGGAAAGAAAATTGTTCCTCTCCTATTTCTGAAAAGATACTTCCCTTTCTCTACAGCGAGTGGTTGTACAATTATATCCTAACTAATCCCTACCCAAAATCACATCAAAGTCTTTCATCTTTATCACATATAAATTTGCTTCAAATGTTTTTTCCTCAATTTTAAGATTCACTGACTTAGTGAACTGATCAGTGTTCAATGTTTTGCTTGAGGCAATGCTAACTTCTAGTGTATTCTTTGACTTATCACAATTAATACTAGATTTAACAATGAAAGATGTTGATACAAAAGAATGAGTTGCTCTTGAATCAAATAGTACATAAGCAGGTGTATCAGATATCAGTAATATACCTGCTATCACATTTGAGTTCTCCTTTGCATCCTTCTGAGTCATTGTAAAAACTCATGCTTTCCCCTTTCTGTTCTGATCATTGTTATCATCCTTCTTCTAAGTAAATATGGGGCAATCCTTAGTAATACAGGGCTTATCGCACCAAAAACGGGCATTCTTCCCATACAAGCATTCCCCATGATGAGGTTTACCACACTTAGGGTAAGGTGAAACTACTGCTACTATGGCCTTACTGGCATTAGATCTGATATTAGCCTTCTTATTTTATTTCTGTTCTGATCATTGTTATCATCCTTCTTCTAAGTAAATATGGGGCAATCCTTAGTAATACAGGGCTTATCGCACCAAAAATGGGCATTCTTCCCATACAAGCATTCCCCATGATGAGGTTTACCACACTTAGGGTAAGGTGAAACTACTGCTACTATGGCCTTACTGGCATTAGATCTGATATTAGCCTTCTTATTTTGCCATTTACCTTTTCCTTTGTCTTGAACATTCCATTTTTTCTTTCCAACTTGCCCTTTGTCCTGTTGGTCGTACAATTGATGGTGTTGTTCTACATTTGCCTTCTAATACCAAATAGCGTGAGCTCGTTCCAACATCTTACGGTATGATGTGAAATGATGTAACATAAGAATCATGTTTAGGTTTGGGTTTAACCCTTACTCAAACCTTCGAGTCTTCTTAATTTCTGTGTCCACCAAGTGTGGAGCATACCTTGAGAGTTGGTTGAATTTTCACTCATAATCAGTTAGGGATAGTTACCCTACTTAAGCTGAAGGAATTTGCTCTTCTTGAAATCCCTTAAAGACTGAAGAAAATAATTTTTCATCACTTCCTCCTTGAATTATTCCCAAGTCAACACCGGTTACTCCTTTGGGGTCCTAGTTTGGGATATTGAATCCCACTAGTGACTTACATCATAGGTGAACATAAACTTCGAACACTGGACCTTTTGGGCGACAATTCAGTTGATGAGTTGAAAAATTTGCTCTAACTTGCGAAGCCACTCTTCAACTACTAGTGGACTAGATGCTCTATCGAAGGAAGAGGCTTATGCCTTTGAAATAACTCAACCACTGAGGCATGAATCGGGAGAGTAATATGAGCTGGTGGTGTAGGTGGAGCTGGATTCTGATTCAGCCTGCCAAGATCTTGAACTGCTTGTAGAAGATCCCTTAATAAATTGCTCTGATTTGCTGCATACATTTCCTTAGAGATGAGATATAATATCTCACATTAACTTCATTTTTGAGAGTAAAAAAAGGTTATTTCTTAACTTGATCATAATTTTTTTTGTACACCTTGAAATCAGGATATACAATAGTTCGATAACTTTTTACTTCCAATAACATAAAGGAAAAGATATCACAAGGAAATGGAATTAAATTTCTAGCCCCTATAAATCTTGCAAATCTTCTTTAGTGGAGCTTCATCTTCGATTTCTTCTACCTCAGGCCCTGTCTCTAGGTCCATCTCAATTTTTGGTTTAGGTTCAGGTTTAGGTTTATGCTCATGATCATTCTTTAATTCCAAACCAAAGTCATTCTCATGTTTCCATTCCGGATCTTCCCCTGGATCTGATTCAAACTGAGATTCGGGCTCAGGCCAACCTCATCATTAGGCTCCATTACTATATCCGATTGATGTTCTAAGCTCTCACTCCACCTATCTAGAAGAATCTGACAATATATACCAAATTCAATCGTATTTGGGTTCTCTGGAGGGTTATCTTCTAGCATCTCATCCCTAACCATGACCCCCACGTTTCCCTTTTGTGGTGGGAGTGAATGTATGAGGTTATTCACAGCCATGATATGCATGATCTCCAGTCCCGCATCTACAATTGCCATACATCTCTCGTAGATGTCATGTACGTGTTCAATAAGTGGACGAGATGGGTCAGTCACATAGTTCTCATAGGACTGAATGATGGACCTACGGTTCAACGCTGCTCTACAAGCAGTGGCCTTTCTAGCGGTCTGATAAGTTCTAACCATATCTGTAATCTAAGTGTCCAATTATGTTTTATCTCTGTTAGTGACAGCAACTTCTACATTATGTTCTTGAGGTTTTTAGATAATGAGCAATTATCATTTCTTTATTTATATTTAAACAAAATATAACTTGCATGACATATTCTATTCTAAACATCAAAAACATTTTCATAGATTCAAGGTTAAATGATTTATAAATCATGCTCGAAAAATAAAGTGGAACATAATATTTTATTCCATACCATGGGTTCTTCGAATGAGGCCAGCTGACGCAAGATGCCATGGAGTACCTTAAATGTTTCATTTTTCTCATTTTTTGGAGTTCCTTAAATGTTTCATTTTTCTCATTTCATTTAAAAAAAAAAACACTAAGTCTACATAATCGACTGAACCTGGCTTTAATACCACGTTGTAATGCCCCGACCCGTATATGGATCGAAACTGTTAGGAAAATGTTGTAATTGGCAATCTGTGACCAAAAGGACTAATTTATCGAGTTTGTAAAATCAAGGACCAATTTGTCAATGTCTAAAAGTTCAGGGACTTGTGTTGCAATTTTGCAATAATTAATGTATAGGTCTAAGGTAAAGTTGGATGCTTTGAAGATGAAAACAGGTTAAGATTGGTGCTAGAGTTTCGCCCTGACCTCGCTCGAGCCTAAATAACAGAACCAGCGTCGCTGGAGTTTCGCCACCACTTCGCTCGAGCGAGAGTGCATTGCTAGAGTTTCGCCGGCACTTTGCTCGAGCGACAGTGTCATCCGGCGTTTGGTAATTTTCCTTCCTCGCGAATTTTAAACGCTCTATACTACCAAAAATGACAATATATAAACAAAAATTTCGTTTTTCATTAACAACCTTTGGCAAAACACATAGCACAATATTTTCCTCTCTACCAAAGGATCAATTGCAAAACTCTTCACCATATGATTCATTGAAGAAAAAAAACATCAAACACCTTTTCAAATAAAACACCTATAAAAAATCCTCACTACTTCCAGAGATCAGTTGATTGAAGATCCGGGAAGGAGGTTGATTGAAGAACTGGAGTTCTTGTTGATTCACGGGAAATAGAAGAAATACAAGGCTGGAATTTTGGTGCAGATCTGCAGAATCCAGGAGAGCTTTGGTTGATACAGTAAGGAGGTCAGAGTGTTGTTAGATATAGTCATGTCTGGCGTATTGTAAGTTGGAGTCTTCTATAGTGAATCCCTACTGGCTTATGCCCGGAGTTTTTACCCAGTTGGGTTTTCTCCGTCAACAATTTTTGTGTTATTTATTGCTTTCTGTCAATTTCAATTCAACCGACAATTCAACATAGGTAGTTAAATCATGTGAATGAATCTGGGCAACGTTTAATTTATGTGACTTGTTGCATAACTTAATTAAATTGTTAAATTCCGCATAGACACCTATTCACCCCCTCTAGGTGTTGGTTGGGTCGAACTATAGCCTTTTCAAGTGGTATCAGAGCCAAATCTCGAGTTCTGACCCATAGTTGTCTAGATGAGTCAATCACTTTCTGTACCTCCGTACTTTGACGAAAGTAATTATGCTTACTGGAAGGTTAGAATGCGTGCATTTCTTAAGTCCTTAGATAAGCATGTTTGGTTGAGTGTGCAAAATGGCTGGAAACCTCCTTCCACTATCGTATCAGGAACTGTTAACCTTACTGATATATCACTGTGGACTAAGGATGAGATAGCTGAGTGTAATTGGAATAGCAAGGGACTTCATGCCTTGTTTATGGCCGTGTCTCTCGAAGAGTTTAGGAGAGTGTCAATGTGCGAAACTGCTAAAGAGGTGTGGGATATTCTTGAAACTACACATGAGGGAACTAAAATGGTAAAGAACTCGAAATTACAAATGCTAGCTTCTAGGTTTGTAGAAGAAAGGATGAAAGATGATGAAACCTTTGATGAATTTTATGCAAAATTGAATGATATTGTTAATTCTAGTTTCAATTTAGGCGAGAAAATTCCCAAGTCTAAAATTGTTAGAAAAGTACTTAGATCCTTGCCCGAGAGATTTAGGCCTAAAGTTACTGCCATTGAGGAAAGTAAGGATCTAGATGAAGTTAAAATTGAAGAATTTGTAGGATCCTTGCAAAGTTATGAACTCACTATCACACAACCTAAGAAAGGAAAGTCCATTGCTTTAAAATCCATCAAAGAGGATGAATCTTCCGATACTGAGTCTCTGAGGGACGATGAAATTGCTTACTTTGTGAAGAAATTTCAAAAGGCTCTCAAGAATAGGAGAAAGCCTCAGGATAGAAAAAGTGGAGTCCCTAGCAGATTCTCAAAAGAAAAAACTGAAAGGTTTAACAATAAAAGTTCTAGTGATAAACCACGTTTGGTTAGGTGCCATGAATGTCAAGGTATAGGTCACTATAGGAATGAGTGCCCTAGTTATAAGAAGAATCAAAGAAAAGGGCAGGGTAAGGCCTTAGTTGTTTCACTTACTGATAACGAGTCTGAGACCAGTGATAGGCAGGAGTCATCTAGTAGTAAAGATGAAGGGAACTATATGGCATTTGTGTCGACTATTAAGAGTGAATTTGAGAAGGAGAGTGACAAGGTTGAGAAAGAACTTCATAACAATAATTCTAGTAATGAGGATGAGGATGACATAAACATACATGAGGCCTATCAACACTTGTTTAAGGAGAGTCTTAAAATCAAAAAGATCAATAAAGCCCTACTTAAAAAGGTTGATGAACTTGAAAGAGAAAAAGAGAGACATGCTAGTAATCTCTAGAATTCACTTAAGAGTGTCAGTGAGTTAAAATGTGTCAATGAGAAGTTGGAAGACAAGGTTAAGACATTAACTAGTGAATTGGAGAAATCTAATGCTCATCTTCAAACTTTCATAAGTGGAACTAAGAAATTGGATGATATTTTGGGAATGAATAAGCCTACGGGAGATAGGAAAGGTCTAGGATATGTTGAGGGTAATACACATGGTGCTGGTCCATCTAAAACTGTATTCATTTCTGCCTCTAGGAAGTCTAACGCTGTCAACAGTCCAAATAAGGGTAAGAATGTTTCGAGGGAACAAAGTCATCAATCACGTAGAAATTTTATGTTCAAACACCCAAAGACACGTACCTTTGAGCCTAGGTTCATTCCCACCTATCACCACTATGGAGCTCTAGGACACACTAGGCCTAGATGTTATAAATTAGGCAATGAGCGTAGAAATCAGAATATTCCAAGTCAAGTCAGTTTTCTGACTAATCAGCTTAGTCATTTGACTGAGATACTTACTAGGTTGACTAGGAGTACCACGTCATCTAAGAAAGTTTAGGTTAAAAAGGAGGATCTAGCTGGACTTTCAGGTCAGGTAAATTGCTATGTTGCTCATTTTGCATTAAAAGCCCAAGATTTCAATATGTGGTACCTTGATAGTGCTTGTTCTAGGCATATGTGTGGTAACAAGGCTTTATTCACTACTCTTGATGAATACAATGGGGGTATGGTTACCTTTGGAGATGGGGGCTCTGCACCTATTCTTGGCAAAGGTACTGTACAAATACATGGATTACCTGTGATCTCAAATGTGTTTAATGTGGAAGGTTTAAAGTCGAACTTGTTAAGTATTAGTCAGATTTGTGATGCTGATTTTGAGGTTAGTTTTGTGGAAAAGAGATGTACCGTGTATGATTCATTCGGTGGGGTGGTCCTTGAAGGGGTTAGAACGTCTGATAACTGTTATGGAGTCCTACCTAATTCTAACTATGTGTGTAGGAGTGCAAAAATTGATGTGAGTGAACTCTGGCATAAAAGATTGGGTCATTTAAACTATAAGAGTCTAGTACAACTGGCTAAAAAGGAGTTGGTAGATGGTTTGCCTAAAATAGTTCCTAGTGAAAATGTTATGTGTGGACCATGTCAACTGGGTAAACAAATTAAAGGAATCCATAAAAAGACTTCTAAAATTTTGACCAAAAGGCCCCTGGAATTGATATACATGGATTTAATGGGACCATCTAGGACTGAGAGTCTAGGAGGTAAGCGGTATATTCTGGTTGTGGTAGATGATTTCTCGAGGTTCACATGGGTAGAATTGCTTAGGGAAAAATCTGATGCATGTGACCTTATAAAATCTTTGTGTAAACAGCTTAGTAATGAACTCAATCACAAAGTGTCCAGAATGCGAAGTGATCATGGAAAAGAGTTTGAAAATTTCAATCTTGAGAGCTTCAGCATGGATGAAGGGATACTACATGAGTTCTCTTCCCCTATCACTCCTCAACAAAATGGGGTGGTTGAAAGGAAGAATCGTGTTCTTTAGGACATGGCTAGAGCCGTGCTTCATGACAAGGGGCTAGCCTTACATTTTTGGGGAGAAGCTGTTAATATTGCATGCCACATAATCAATAGAGTCTACCTTAGACCTAAAATCGATCAGACCCCATATGAGATTCTAAAGGGTAAAAAGCCTACTGTCAAATACTTTCGTGTGTTTGGGAGCAAGTGCTACATTTTGCGTGATAGAGAGAACTTGAGTAAGTTTGAATCTAAGAGTGACGAAGGAATCTTCTTAGGGTATTCTAGAAATAGTTGAGCATTCCGAGTATATAACTCACGTACTCGTACTGTGATGAGTCAGTCAATGTTGTGATAGATGATGGTGTGAGTGAGGGGGAGAATGTTGAAAATTATGATAGAAATGGTAATCTTATAAGGTCTAGTGATCCTACTGAACCGCTTGTGCTTGAATCATCTCTTAAAATTCCTGAAACTCCTGAAACGGAAACAAATCCACAAGATCAAGACACAATCCCTAAGGAACCATCAACTAGGGTCAAGTCTAATCATCCTAAGGATAATATCATTGGGGATCTGGATGAAGGTATGAGGCTTCGTAAGAGAGTACTGAACAATCTAGCATATACTAGCTATGTTTCACAGGTAGAGCCTAAGGAAGTCGAAGAGGCCCTTAGTGATTAGTGTTGGGTGAATGCAATGTATGAGGAACTCAATCAATTTGCTAGAAACAATGTGTGGATCTTAGTGCCCAGACCTGAGAATTGTAACGTTATTGGTACTAAGTGGATCTTTAAGAACAAGACAGATGACCAAGGTACTATAACTAGGAATAAGGCCAGATTTGTTGTTGAGGGTTATACTCAAGTTGAGGGAATTGATTTTGATGAGACTTTTGC